CCTTAAGACCTTACTAGAAGCTGTCATTGGAGATAAAAAGCTGGAGAAATGTCTTAGATTCAAGCATAATTAGAACAGTGTTTGAAACTAATGCTCGAATTATGCATTTTTATATATTTTTTTTCTTTATAAACATCAAGCAAATCAAATACATAAATCACTATCATTACACGTCTTTGGCGTATTGAGGAACCTCTGAAGAAGCCCAAATCCCAACTTGAGACCTRTTAGAAAAGTCTTCTGTGTCCGTCCCTGGTTGAGGGGAGGAGCGAAGACATTCTACTGACCAATCACAGAGCAGGAGCGGACTTTTGCCTATCGTGATTGGACGGATCGACCACGCTGCCCGAAGAAACAGGAAGACTCGTTTAGTTTTGCCAAGGGGGAGAAAATTACACATTGCGCTGGCACAGAAGAGATGGAAGAGGCTTCAGTTGTAAGCTACAAAGCTAAATATTATAGTCAAACGTACCTTATTCAAGCGGAAGAAAAAAATACAGCTTGAAAAGTGCCCTAAAATTTATGTCGACCGGCAAATATACTTCCTATTTGTTTGTTTTACAGTTCACACTTAGGACACACGCCTGCGTTACGAATACCAGCAAATGTCCCGTGTGTTTCGGCATGATTTCCCCCCACTTCCGACTTTAAAACAGCACATGTTGCGTTTTCACACCTGTGCAGTCACGGCGAGCTTTCCACTCAATTAATCACGCAGGTTTGACCAGGAACTAGTCTAATGAGAAACCACTGAAATGATTGACGAGCGCGAGGACGCTGCCAGCTATATATATATATATTTTTTTTGTAACAGCACAAGCTGCTTGTTTGTTATTCCTCACCGTGAAGAACAAGGTAAACACCAAAACATCCGAACAGTCACTAAATGGGCTCGCGAACTGCGCCGAAAACGACGGAGCCAACGACGAGAGACTTATTTTTTTTAATCAGCACAGACGATTAGTGACGGCCATTATTGCCAAAAGTCAATTATTCTATCTACGAGTTTATTAGAAGCCCGCTAAATGGCAGACAGTGTGTCCAAAGCTTATCCAAAGTGCACTGTACCATTGTTTGGCTCTGAAATTTCTTGCCTTTATTGTCAGTTCAGGCAAACCCCTGATGAATACAGTGAGAGCTGCAAGAGTAGAAACAAGAAAGTTGAAGCAGACGCATTTGTGATCACATACCATGACAGATGTGCAGGCTTGTGAAGGGGGTGGGGTAAGGGCTAATCTAAAAATAAAAGAGACACGGTCTTAAATACAATAAAAATATATTTAGAATAAAAAATAGAGAATTGTTTTAGGTTTAATGCCTTTTTTTTTTTTTTT